TTCGCCCAGACGTACCGACCGAAGAGGCCTGCGCGGGTTCTGGGAAGGGGCATCGCCCCCCCCGCTGTTGAAGGGCCCAAGCCCTGTGAGCGCGCACGTTTGCGACGGTACGAGCTGACGATGCGGCTGATCAACTAGGCCGGTGTGGCCCGACCTAAAGGCGGAGGGGAAGGAGCAAGCGATGGCAGGGCAGAGGGGAGGTGGAAGAAGAAGAATCATCACACGGGCGTTTTAACATTTTCTTTGAGAGAAAGACGGACGCAGTCACGTCCAGAGGGCCTGTCACACAGTAGAGACAGATGGCGAGCGTACATATTCAACATTGATGGCAGATGTTATGTATTTTGGCCAACAAGCGGACACTGTTACTCGTTTGTCTCCAGCCGCCGCTGCAAGATGTGTCTCGCGTTCGCAGGCGTCAGCGAGTCAATCTCGAGCGCCTCGAGCATCTTCTTCGCCTCGGTATTGTCTGTGAAGATGCGGTCAGTCGCCACCTTGAGCGACACGCCGCCGGCAGACTGCGCCTCGACCGGCAGGTTGAGCAGTCGCAGCGCGTCGTGCAGGCTGCCCAGCGGGCCCACGCCGTTCGGGATGTACCGGTCGACGAGCGACAGGATGGCGTTGAGGTCCCGCAGGAACTGCGCCGCGCCGAGCGCTGTGAACGTCTGCCGCATGAGCACCTCACCCCAAAGGAAGTCCTGCAGTTTATCGAGGGCTGCGCGCCAAGTGCGTCGGAACGCGGCTGTGCTGAGAGCTTTGACGAGGAAGTCGAGGTTTTGACGAAGAATCTGAGACTGTCAGCAAGAGCCAAGCACATATAGTAGTAGTAGCCTCTGGCACGTACACGAAGGGGTTCGTCGAGCTCGGCTGTGATGGCAAGCTGGAAGGGATCCACTGGCAAAAGGTCAGTCTTCGCTCTTGGTGCTCGTGGCAGGTGACCTACCCTCGGCGCCACTATCGCTGATTGTCGTCCATTGCACCTTCGTCGAGTATGCTTTGAGGGCATCATTGTGAGACTTGGACAACGCCCCGACGAGGAAGTCCTGCGCTGCCTTTCTCCTCAACGCATAGGCGGCTATCGTTTCATCGAACAAGATGCCGTCTCCGTTGTCCGATCCGACGGCAGTTGAGGTTCGGTCCTTGACCTCCTCATAGCTCATCTCGCCAGCAATCTCAGGAGACTCGTTGCCGGGTTTCGCCCGCGTCTGGAGTTCGTCCCACAACGTGACGAAGAAGTCCTCGTTGCTCCAGTCCTTCAGCGTGTTGACAACATGGTCGGAGCTGCCGTACACCTTGCACAAGGTCTCGAGAGCTCCCGTTCCCTCCAGCGCCGCCAGCTGCTCCTTGGTCACGCCATGCAGCGTCCTGCCCACGGTGGATGTGATGGATTGATAGGCTTCAAGAGACCCCCTGAGCCGATCGTGAAAGTCGTCGAGGATGTCGAGCTGTATGCCGATGAGGAAGCGCATCTTGTGCTTGAAGTTCCTGGCCCGCTCGTACTGCGCGGTAATGGATCGCAACAGATCAGTGACGCGGGTCGCGCCGTAGGTCGGTTTCGTCTTTCCGCTGCCTGTGTAGTCGTAGTCGATATTTCGGGCATCTGGCGCAGCCATGATGGCCTGGAATCGCTCTAATGCAAATTCCTTCTCTGCCACGAACCAGGGCTCGAAATACTTGTCAAGGACCTCGGTGGTCAAACCAGCCCATCCGTCCTCCGAGTTGCCTCCGTCATAGCTGAACCTGGCGCGAATGTTGTCATCAAACGTCATCAGTTGGCCTATCAGGCTGCTCAGGAAGGTAGGCACGTTGACAGCGTCGGCTGCAACAGTGTGAACCTTTTCCCGAAGAACAGGTAGCATTGTCGTGACAAAGGCGCACACCGGGTCGATGTAGGCCGTGTTGTTTGCCGCCGGTGTGTCCTTCAGCTTGGCGGCAAGCATGTGGCCCAGGTTGTCCCGGAAGAAATCCTCCCACTTCTCAATCGTCGCCAGGAACCACGGGAAGCAGTGCGTTCCCAGAGCCTCGGGCTTGCTTGTCGGCTTGTCGCTCATAAAGTGGTATCGGAATTCGGAGATGAACATCTTGCACATGACGTCAAAGGGCAGCAACGTTACAGTTTCCGTGCTGTACACGACCTCGGGGATCTGGAGGTCGATCAACTTTTCAAAGCACTGCAGCCACTCGTCATCCATCTCAGCACTGGGATCCACGCCCATCGGCCAGGACCTCTTCGTCAGGATGGCATCCAGCTCAGCCGACATGGTCTTCTTCATCTCGTCCCACAGTGTCTCGGTGACCGTCTCGACGTAATTGACAAGGTGCACAGCCGCATCGTCTGCGATGCCCGACAGCTCGGCCAGGCGTACCGACAGCTGCTTGAGCTGCGCATACGGCTCGAGCGCCGCCTTTGGGCTTTCTGGCAGATGCGACCGAGCCTCCTTGCGAAGGGCATCAACCTCTTGCAGGAGGACGAGGTATTTTTGCGCAAGCTCGACGGTGCGCAGCTTCTTCATGGGCTCCTGCAGGCGGGCGATCGCCTGGTTGGGTGCATCCGATGCGGCGGCGACCTTGACGCGGATGTCGATGCTGTGCTGAAGCTCCTGAAAGTCTTGAATGCGCGTCTCGAGGGATGTCTGGCGGTCGCGGGACGTGAAGCGAGCTTCATCGAGCTGCTTGACAGCATTGTCGAGCTGCGCCTGAAGCTGGCTGCGCTGGGTTTCGACATTGGCCAGCAGGGTTTCGAGGCTCTCCAAGTCGGTAGTGGATTGGAGCTTGTCGTCGAGGTAGTCTTCAACACGAATGTCGAGCCCTTGTGCCCCTTCGGGGTTTGTTGCTCTATTGACGCGGCCATGCTTGCTGGGCCTCGGGTGAGTGCGTCGGTATGTGTATGTGCGTGGGTGTGTGTGCTGTGCTGGAGCTAAAGCTTGACGTGGAGGGATGACGATGGTGGTTTGACTGCCAGGTGGGGAAAGGCGGGTCTCCCATTGATCCGCAGCCGGGCATGGCCTCTCGAACCAGGCCTGGGGACGACGAATATCAACACACATGGCAAGCAACAAAGTTGTCGCCTTTCATCAATTACTTCACAAGGATCCTCGAAGGTGTAGACGCGGGAACAGAAGGATACTGATTAAGTATTGTCGA